TCATATATTATAACTGTCTGTATTTCGGAATAAATTTCTCGTTTAGATACAGCTGAAATGAGTTTCACTTCCTTATTCCAGGAACCGTTCGTATCGTTTTAGTTTCAGAACTGACGATGATCTTTAGCTGTTCTCTCAGTTCCAAATTATTTCCGAATAGGGACCCTTTATGTGTTGCATACTAACAAATGCTGACATCGGATTCATATCCGAAACACAGCACTGATGCAAAAAACATATCAATGAACAGCACTGCATCAGAATTATCCGTCAAATAGAATCTTCTCATAAAGGAACATTGCTGATAATTTCCGTTCCAAAAACGCATGAAAGTGAGCAAGAGTAGAGCGTCTCAAATGGAATCTACCTGATAAATATGACCAATGAGAGTGAGTCGAATTGCGAACTGTTCATCCTGTGAGCCGTTCGGTATCATTTGCGCGTCAACATTTTTATTTCCATTATGTACGGTCATTCGACCATCCATCCATGTCCATCCGATACACATCGCCAGTTCGAACTACAATCAAAGTTAACTCTCAAACTGTCCAAATATTATTGTCTCTCGTATTCGATAAAAATTATCGCTTCTCAAAATCAANGTTAACTCTCAAACTGTCCAAATATTATTGTCTCTCGTATTCGATAAAAATTATCGCTTCTCAAAATCAACATCCCGAATTCTCTCTTCTGCTTCTCTCCTTGCAAAAAAACTTGACTACTTTCGAAACTAAACGATACTCGAAAAATCTCATCAGTTCGGATACCGAGTGATATTCCTTTTCAAAAAAAATGAATGAATGAACAAATGCAAATAAAACTCACAGCTAAAGAAAGCATATCAACAGCTAGAATATTCACTGGCGATTGCATGAGTGCAACGGCTGACGCGTAAGAGGTTGTACTGCCAAACGTTGACTGCAAAATGGATACAATAAGAGCCAAACTGAATACAAGTATTTAGGAATTACGAAACGCAAAGAAATCTAAAAACCGCACAATACGAAACAGTTTATAATACCGTAAGAAATATCAGAGACCATTGCTGAGTTTATAATCTAACACCTCGTAATGAGCAAAAATATTTCATATAGATAAAAGTTAGCTCAGAAAAACTTCAATAAAAATTTATATTACA